GGATCGCCTCTTCTTGGAGGAAAAAAAGCCAGGGGCCAGGGGTAGCTGCATTCAGCATAAACAAGGGAACTAACTCAATGCTAAAGATCCTTCTTGCTTGTGGACGGAAAAAACTAGTCGTGCATTGGCCGGGAATCGAACCCGGGCCTCCCGCGTGGCAGGCGAGAATTCTACCACTGAACCACCAATGCTGTGCTATAGAAGAGTGTTTTGCTGGCTGGGATGTTTAGTCTCTGACCTGTCTAGGGAGTAGGACATCGATGCTCCTGAAATTCATCATCTGGAGCCCTGGATACAACACTGTTGTAACCAAATCCACTTCGCTGGGGAGGCTGCACGCCTTCTCCGCGGTGATCTGCGCCAGCTCGCTCTTTCTTCCTCCTACCGGCCCGAATCCGAAGCAGCTCTGCGTATCCTCAACCGCCCACCCAGACCTCTAGAAGCCAGGAAGTAGAGGTGGCCGGATCTCTTCACAGTTCTGGGGACCCTGCGGGCTGCAAGGGCAGACCTGTCCTTCGGTTGGCTCTAAATAAGTAAAATAAAAGGAGTCGGCCTTTGGGCTGGGCACGAAGGCGACGGCACCCGGAGGGCTAAAGTTTCTTAACTTTAAGACCCCCACTCCCAACTCAACATGCTCACCAGCCTCATCCCCGGCAGGACCCAATGCTTTGTGTATTCGCACCAGTCCTTCATGTATAGGAACCACTTGTCTGCACAGATCCTTCATCTCTCCGTGTGAAAGGGGTGAGGCCGCCTGCCCCCATGAGCTTGGTACCTTTTAGGAGCTCGCCCCTTTCCATGGCCTGCAGCCAAGGATAGGCGGCTTGGCGGCAGCCTAAACCTTTCCTGCTGGTCCCGAGTATGCTGACCTCTGCGTTCTGGCAGTTCCCATGCCAGGACTAAAGTCTCCATACCCACACTGAGACCTTGGGCTCTGGCTTCACTTTTCCCTTTCATCCTTTGCCGGACTAAGATCCCGAAGATCAACAGTGCCTGGCTCAGGCAGAAGAGCCTTTGGAGGGCCAGGCTCTGACCGGACAGCCGGCTGCAGGCGATTGTCCCCGCTAAGGCCACCTGCGGGGTGGGGGGAAGGGGCGGGGGAGGTCCAATCAGGGAGAAGCTGGTTTGCTATGGTCTCCCAAAATGACTCTGGTGAAGAATGCTGACATTCAAAGGGATGGTCAGGAGTTCAAGATCAGCCTCAGCTACAAAAGAGAGTTTGAGGCCAACCCCAGGGATAAGACTGATGGATGGAAGGAAGGAAGGAAGGAAGGAAGGAAGGAAGGAAGGAAGGAAGGAAGGAAG